TGTTTTTCCTTACGAACAGATACGAACAAATTCTAGTATTTAAAGCCATTACAACTTGTCCATTGAACGTCTGTAGTCTACCTGCTTTACTCCGTAAGATTCAAAATTGTTGCACCGTGTAGTCTGGAAGAATTTTAGCGACGTTTCATAGGAACTTGCTGCCTGTATCATCAGAGCGATCGTCTAATACATCCTACAGAGACATAAGACTGTGTCCTGTATAATTCTGGCAATAATTCTGCGTTACTCAATTAGATTATACGAAAATTATGAGAGGGAGTTTTACTATGCAAGTGTAATGTATCCTAATCTAGTCTTAAGCCAGTAAGTAATATTTAAACGTTTAACGGCAGTCTCTTAAAAACGTTTCTAGAAAAAGTACTTGGATTACAAATTTGCATGCAGACACAACGCAGTAAATTACGAATATCTGCACATAAACACATTAATCAACTTAACTGATTAAACACGGGTTGATGACAAAGCTTGAATGGGAAATTTCAAGTGCTAATTTCGACAGATTACACGCTTAACAACGCTTTGCAACGCAGTTGACTTCTAACCACGTATTATTTTACGATGATGTGCTTTAACTTCTACGTAACACGTATTATTTTACGATGATGTGCTTTTAAAACACCTCAAATTAAAACATTTCTAGTAGTATATTTTAAGTATCTCATCGAAAGTATAATGGGACATATTAAAAGGAGAACAACTGACATTTAATTAAATTACTCATGTCAAGAGTCAACTTCATTTTACAGTAGATGGCATATAACAATGTTGGGGAAATGTAAGATTTTTCTGGGATGTTATGCTATGCTGACGACGTTTTAGAGGCACATACTGCCTTAATAATTAGGACGATTATTAGTAGTAAACACCTATGAAACGTCGGTCAATATATATATATATATATATATATACACTAGACTAATAGGTGTAATATCCCAAAATACAACCACATTGAAAAAATATTAAATTTTAAATATTTTAAAATTATTATTGTTGACATATAAATAGTGTAAACCAGATGATAACTCTAATATTAATTCCCACTAATTATGAACAGTTTTGTAAACTCGAAATGCGGGAATATATTCCATTGTTTCATTCTACCGATAATTTTATCTCGTGTTACAATAATGAACTGCAAGTCCACTGGGTTAACCACTTCCTGATTTGCATTTCTAATTTTACGTTCTCATCCCTCGGGGCAGAGTATTTTGTGCACAGTGTTGCAAATGACATCGAACGAACACTGAAAGCCCCTCCCCGGACCTGGTGTACACACTTGGCTGTTCTCACGATATACTTCGTTAATCTGCGAGACAAGATTTATCTTCAACAGTTGCACTAAGCATAGATTTGCAACAATCTAAGGATTACAATACATCAAGGAGGTGACATTTTCATGAAGCGAGAACAGAACACTCCATATCAAAACTTTATGATTAAGGTAAGATGTAATTTAATTAAATAATCTTGTCCGTCTAATCACAATTTAAAATTTAAAATTAAGATAGTTAAAATACCATGTGATGCTCCTTATCGAAACATTCGATTTACATTTGGAACATCACTTTCTCACTACATGTTTCGGTTCTTAGATGAACCATCTTCAGGTGTGTAAAAATTACAATTATATAAACTTAAAACTTAATCATAATTTCTTATATGCAA